AGCAATTTTTTTTTTTTTTTAATATATAAACCCTTTTTTTTTTTTTTTTTTTTTTGCACGAAAATATCTCCAGCGCATCTTTTTGTGTGTATGTGTGCTAAGGAAAAAAAAAAAAATCTTTGATTATTCTTAGGGTTATTTTCTCCCCCGCTCTCCCTCTCTCTGTCCCTCTCTCCCCAGCACTCTGATAATGATGGTAATGATGATTTCTTGGTGATCCAGAATTTTTAAGATCGCTGAGCAACTTTTTAGGCTTTGAAAAGAGAAGTCCTGTAGGGACTCGCTTCTTTTGAAGTTGCTGTTTTCCGCTTGTTTAAAACTGAAGCTCTCCGAGAGTAGGTGCTGGGTGCGTTTGATTTTATTTTTAAACACCAGGCGTGATTTCTCTGGGTAGCTGACTCTATCCCTCCATCAGGTTTCTGAAATAAATCTTGTTTTCTGCACCCATCAAAACGCAGGTGGGTGAGAACTCTTAACTTTCTACTTTTGTTGTTGTTGTTTCGCCTCTTTTTTGTTATTTTCTTTCTCCTTTCTCCCTCGCTCTCCCTTTCTCTCGCTCTCTCTTTTTACGGGGTCTCTTTCATTCAGGTAAAACTGTAAATTTCCCAAACCTACATTGTTTCTCCTCCTGCTGCATGAAACTCCCGGATACTTCTTCCCTCTCTCTTTTTTTTTTTTTTTGGTAAAAATTTATTTAAAATCCTCGATAGCAGCAATGTAAATTTTCTGACATTCAAACCTTTTCTAGTTCACAAATCAGTCACCCTTGTCACAGTTATTGAAATTCCTCAACTTGCCACACCAGGACGGTGGAAAAAGCAGGCGGTGTCTTTGTTGCTGACCAGGCTTTTGATCGCCAGAGAAAATTTACTTACCTTCAGATGAGTGAGCAGAAAAAGAAATAACACTCCCTTTGATTTAGTTAGAAAAATGCAGACATTTGGATTCAGTGCAAACATACAACACTTGGTTGTTTTCTAGATGCAACCCTCGATTAACCTGTCTTTCCCCAGCTCAAAGTCTATTGAAAAACTGCGGATAGTTCTTTTTTGTTCTCGCTACAAAGAGCCATTGACTATATATTAAAATGATTGTTGAAAGGTATAAGTATGGTATTTAAAAGCAGAAAACCTTTGTGGCTTAATCAATTAAGCTAAGCAACATTTGTACAATATTTTAAACGATGCTTCGGCACTAAAAAAAAAAAAAAAAAAATCCCGGGAAACTTTAAAATTTGGATGTCTTTTTGGTC